GCCCCCCCCCCCCCCCCCCCCACCAGTCTTTGTGTGCATTATTCATCGTCTGCCTTAAGAAACCGCACAAGAGCAAAAAAACTGTTCGTTTTTAGGTGCTTAAAGTATTGCTTTAAAGCTTTCGGAGCAAATAAGGATTTATTGTTGGCTTCGAGAAATTGGTGTGTGCATTTCTAGTCAAATTCTCTGGAAGTGATGCGCACTATTTTCAGAGGAAGTGTGTGCTTTAATCAATTTTATTAGACTTCAAGTATATATGCACGAATGTTCTAAGTCAAACCGCAGATTACAAATTTTAATTAAAGTGGCTTGACTGAACTTCGTGATTGGAGAGACCAGTAAGTGTGAACTGGAACTATCAGATGCGGATAGCATTCCTGAAAATGAACTTCCCAATAGGCAAAGTTGGTACGACTGGAATCCCCAAAATATATATAATTGTCTGTAACATCTTTACTATCACAATAATCTAATTTTTCTCCTGAATATGTATTCCAATGCCATGTTTTGGCATAGTTATAATCCTCTAAGGAAACAATTGAAGTTGAATAAGTTGGTTTGAAAGAAAATTATAGAGGTATTGCCTAAACTAGATTTTGTCGAAAGGTGTGCAATTAGCAGATGGAACATAAAAAATAAATCGTTCGTTCTTCTCGCACTTGTTTCTCGAGTGCTGCGTTACAACGAGCTCTTTCAAACAACTTGGTTTTGAAGTTATTTATTTATTTCAAATGGTAGGCTTTATGATATTTATCATTAGCCCTTAAATCTTGACTTCAGCTTCCCGCAAGGGTGGGGGGTACATATATAGCAGTTCATTAGCTGTCTTCTTGCTTCCCAGTATCTCTGGCTTTCCGTCCTTGTCTTTAGGGCTGGACACCGAATCATGTGGGTCTTCTCCATTTCCTCATGTAGGTTACATAGAGGGCATGTGGGTTTAGTGTATACTCCCAATCTGTGAAGGTGTTTTGCCAAGCAATCGTGTCCGGTACGTAGTCTAAACTCGATTCGATTCTTGGCCAGCCGGCTATATCGGAGAGTGCCACTCTCCACTGTTTCTCCTTTCTTCAAGCTTTAAGTTCGTTGCACCTTGAGGTCTGGAATTCTCTCCTGATTAAGGCCTTCATTGTGTGGAAAGACATCGGGCGGTCCATGCATTGCAAAATCGTTGTCCCCTTCTAAGGAAGTGTGTCAGCAAGTTCATTGCCTTTAATACCACAGTGACCAGGAATCCATTGTAGGACCACTCTTTTGTTTTTCTCTCTCAGCAGCTCATAGAGTTTTCTACATTCCTTTATCTCAGCTGTTTTGGGTGGCTCTCTGTTTCCAATTGAGTTTATTGCTGACCGTGAGTCCGAAAGTATCACCGCTTTGGTGAATTTCGTATCCAGGCAACATAATTGGCATAGTGCTATCCTAATGGCCTCTATTTCTCCTTCAAAAGCGGATCTATTGTGTCCCGCTGCTGCGTAGAAAGAGAAGAGTTCAGAATAGACACCAGCACCAACGTTTGCTTGGTTTTCTATGTAAGGCCCATCAGTGAAGACTTGGAGCCATTAATCTGCACTATAGTTGACATTGATTGTCTCAAGGGCCAGTGAGCGCATTTATCCTGGAGAGGTGTTTGATTTCCTGAAGAGGTCGAGCAGTTGGGTGCAACACACTACATCAGTGTCTGCTTTTCATGGGGAGAGAGAGGCTTTTTGGTTTGTCATCTCAATATGTTCATGGGGAGAGAGAGGCTTTTTGGTTTGTCATCGATTCGTATCGCGAGAGAGAGAGGCTTTTTGGTTTATCATCGATTTGTAATTAGAGAGAGGCTTTATGGTTTGTCATCGATTTGTAATTCGAAGAGAGAGGCTTTTTGATTTTGAAGTCATATTCGTGCAATCGTCTTCATGAATACCAAATTTTGTAGGTGAAATCCTGGCTGTGGCCCCATTTTAGTGTCTTCCGACAGATGTATTCACCGGCTATAGTGGAGGAGATCGTTATTACCGGTAATATTGATAGAGTTTAGCACCACTAGGTGACGTAACTCCTCCGTGCATTAACCTAGTATCTATCTCCCATATCCCTCCTCATAAAATGTGAACCGCGGAGTTATAACTTCGAGAGAGGTCACGCAGTAGTTGCGGTCATAACCGCAAATGGCACCAACACAGCAACATTTGCAGCGGGTAAACAAGCCATCTCCGAAATCCACGCTTAGTCATCGTCGCCGCGTTAATATACCACTGGCCAGCCGTTAGACCGACCCATCCGGTCATGAATACCCACCTCCCAACCCCCCCCCCTCNCCACCCCCACCTCCCCCTCCACCCGCCAACATCTTGACATACCACTCCTATCACAGCATGCACATTTCGATGGCAAAAGGTTAGGCCGTTGTCAAGGCGTCGTCGTTTGCAATGAGGCAAGAGGAAGGATAGGAGTTTGATGTAACTGTTGATGTATTGTAGCTTCGAGCAAACAGTAAGTCTAGGGGATTTACGTACGCCATCAATGACAGTTGTATTTATGCTGATAATAAGCCGACCTTTAGGTTATTATGAGTCGGAAGCATTTTTTTCCACAAATTATCTTCATCTAAGGAAATAGTATTGGATTGAAGAAATTGTTCTTTTATTTTTTTCACATGTTAATCAATCGTTACACGAAACAGATTTTCGCACATAGTATTTCGGCACTCTTCGATACTTCCCTAGAAAAGGTGATGTTAGGAATTAAGGAACCAGAAAGGCTTAAAACTAGAGAGGTGGCCGAGGACGAATGAGAAAATTAGGATAACAAGGATCCATATTTCTCTGGAATTCTTGAAGCCCTGTGCTTTCAATATTGGCATAAGAGAATGCTTGCAAGATATGTTCGCTCACTCCAAAGTTTATGGGTGAGATCATATCCGCAGTATTCAGACCTTACTGATGTGTTGGCGTAATTTGAGTCCATTTCGATTTATTTGCATCTTCTCACAGTCAAAGGCAAATTTATTAAACCAGAGATATTTTCTTTTACCTCTTGAAAGGATTTCGTGAGTTTCCTTAAGACCCATCACAATCTTCATAAGCATCGGTTCCATTAAACACAATAATAAGAAAATACAGGCTAATTTCCTTAAAATAGCGAAAATGAATAGTATTAGGAATTCTGAATAAATAATTTATTATAATTATATTTTTATGTATTTATTAAATATCGTTCTGTTTATGATCATTGTGGTTTGGAGTAAATTAAACCAAACATTTCAAGTGAAAATTTCCTTTTTTAATGAATAGCGAATTTTCAGCATTTGAATTATTTATTTCTTTATTTCAAATTGAAGGCATTTTGATAGTTATCATTAGACCTTTAGCTGACTTCTGGTTTCATAGAGAGGAGGAGGAGAAGCATCAAAGTGACAAAAAGACGAGAGGGGGGGGGACAGAATAATGATTCACAGAGGTAAAAGAGAGACAGACAGATAAAAAGGCAGAGAATAGGTAAGATAAATACTGTGGAAGAGGTCGAATATGACAAATAGTCGGATCACAGTAGTTTGAAGTCAGAAGTCAACTGCCGATCAATAAATTTGTTTGCCGTATTAGTATACATTGCCACGTGGAGGTAAGTCTATCGCACACCCCGCATTTGAATTGTAAATGGTGGGAGAGAGTTGGCAATTGAGAAATAAGGAATGACATGGAATATATAACGCTTTGGCGGAAACTGCACAACTGAGTCTTGACTAGATCTCAACAGCGTTCTCTGGTGGAATTATTGGGTATAAAAGCGAATAGCCTGCAAAGCATAGAGGGTAAGCGTTTGTAAACTAACCACATCCTTTGTCATTAGGGCCAATCAACATGGCTCTACGTTGCATAAACTCGATTGCTGATTGGCTGGGAGATTTCAGCAGGCCGTCAATACTTTCGAAAATGTTCCATGCAAATGATCTTCCTTTAATTAGCCTCGACAACTCCACAAACCTTAAGGAAACCCTAAAACATGTCTATCGAACTAAAAAAGGGAACAACTATTTTCGATTGAGATCATGATTTTTGATGGATTTTACTTAAATCCTCTCTCTTATTGCTGCTATTTTTAATTAGCTAGACGATGATAAAATAATGATTAGATTTTTACATGTTTCGCTAAGTTTGATTCTTCTTGGCCTCATCTCTCCTCCTCCTCCTTAAATCCTTCTAAAAATTTTAAATTTGAATCTGACAAATAATATTATTTTAAAAAAAACATTAAGTATGGATCTCGGTAAGCAAAATAAACTTATTTATTTTCATTAATTTAATTGAGTCATTTATCAGCTACATGAAATAAGTTTTTAATACCTGTAAAATAATACTGTTGCATAAAATTAATTTACTATTGATGAGATAGAAAGCAAAGTATTGGAATGGCAAAATACCATTTTTGTCATTAAATTTCTTTGGTATCAAATCTAATACTTATTTATATCAAATGGCAGGCTTTATGATATTTATTATTAGCCCTTTACTCGACTTTGGCCTTCAAGGAGAAGGGAGTGAGGGCATCAAAGTCACAAAACGTTGGGGGGGGGGGCAGAAGAGCGATTCACAGATGTAAAAGAACCAGACAAACACAGAGGCAGAGAAAAAGGTAAGATGAGTACTGTGGAAGTGATCGAATATGACATAGAGTAGGGTCATGGTAGTTTGAAGTCAGAAGTCAACTACCCCTTTATAGACCTTCTTCCCATATGAACATATGTTCACCTGGGGTTTCCACGTGGAGGTAAGTCTATCGCACACCTCTCAAATCCAATGTAGTTTAATCCTAATGCCTGAACGAGAACTTTTATTACCATTTTTTTGTCTTTTAGCTAAGAAACGTTTTTCTATTTATTAATTCGCACATAGTAAATGAATGGCCGCTTAGTTGGCCAACAATTGCAGTGATAATTTTCCTTGTGGTGGTCCACCTTATCCTAATGCGAGAGTGGAAATCGAATAATCCCTGATTCGATGGAATACACTGAAAGCACTTGATTTGGCTTACTAACAGTAAATAACTAAAAGTATTTTCTAAAGATTTGTTAAACATGCTTTGTTTCCAGCTTTCAGTGACTCTGAGCCAATAACAACGTTTGCAGAACGCCCGCTTGGACCAGTGCACCATACAGAGACGGGTCATGTGCGTAGTAGTCTAAGAACCTCTGTTCCGCCATCAGCCAAATCAAACCGCAGACCTCCCTCCCCCTCCTCCACAAACCCCTCCTTAACCAAAGTGTTGAATGGAGAACAGCCACCATCACCTCGTGATACTAGACGCTACTAAAAATAGATTCGTTCTACTTTACTCTCCCTTTCCAAAAATTGCTTCAAAAAATATATTATTGGCTAATTTTAACTCAGAAGAAAAATTTTATACAGTGCACTCATTATTTTCGAATTTTATTAGGAATTCTGGGCGGAACGATTTCAATAGTGAGGGCAATTGTGTCACGGAAAGCCAAGTTAGAGCCCTTACTAAAATCTATCTTCCATTTATTTAGCGGGAATGCACAGCACTGTGTTGAAAAGCATATTTGTATTTGAAGGTTACTAATATGGGGTGTGTGATAGACTTACCTCCACATGGTGCACCCTGGGCAAAGTATACTCATACGACAAAAAAGTCTATTAGCTGGCAGCTGACTTCTGACTTCTAACTACAATGGCCCAACTGTATGTCATATTCCACCATTTCAGCAGATCTCGCCTTACCTTTTACTCAACATTTGTGCTTATCTGTCTTTTTTACATCTGTGAATCATTACTCTGTTATCCCCCTCTCGGCTTTTTATCACTTTGATGTTCCCCCCCCCTCCTCTGTGAGGCCTGAAGTCACCTAAAGGGCTAATGAAACTATCAAAATACCTGCCATTTGAAATAAATAAATTAATAAATATTGCGTGATTGAGGACGATTGTTACCTTCTATTCCCATCTGAGAAAAAATGCGTTGCTATTTATGCCGCATTTCAGAATTTTGCTCTCTCCCTCTATTCGGCCCATAATGGCGGAGCAGATGATTATACTAATTTGAGGAATAGTGATCACTTCATTTTCGTCCACACTTGACAACAATGCATTTCACGAATATTTTCTGTGGTAGGGTTTTTAAGTTTTATTGACTGAAAAGAGTCCAATTTGGTGCCTTTGATATGATTGGACTATCGTACGGTAGTCTTTCTTTGCAACTTGTCCAAAGTCAATACTAGGAAGTCGACGAATCGGCCGAGTTGGAGTAATTAGTAGAAAGCATAAAAAATAGCTTTTTTACTAATGTAAATGAAGCAAACAAGATTAATAAGACCTTTCTAAGCCCTGTGGAGCACAAAATTGACTTTATTCATTAGTGAAGGCATTGGCTTCATCATTCAACTTCCAAAGGTTAAATCAATTACCACACCTGTGGCACCAGAAGATGCCTAACGTACGTCCACTTTTGGCCCTATTTCAACAGTTCTTAGACCTGAATTGAGTTCACAATCTCATTAACATAAGAGGAAGTGCCCAGTGAGACATTTTTCATATATCCTTGCAGTTTTAAGCTCAGTTTTCTGCATTATTGATTTACCAAAGTGTTAAAAGTTATGCAATGGGTTGAAAACTTTAATTATCCTCATAAGTTTAATGGTAATGTGCTGATCATCTTTTACTCTAGATCTGGAATCACATGAATTGAATGCACAAGATGCAATTGGGTGTACATCCGTGGAAATAAATTGAATTATTTAAAATTGGCAGGAATAGAGTAGTGAAATGAGATGGATTACTCCTCAATGTTTGCTAATAAAACAATTAAATAATTAATTCTC